GTGGAGAAAGCACAAGCATGATAATCGCAACGTTCGTGGTTCGAGTCCACTCTGCACCCTTTTTTTCGTCCTAATTAATTTCTCTTAGTTATACCAAAGATGAATACTAAGATGAAACTGTCGGAAGAAAAACTTTCTATTTTACTTTACTTTTTCACGGTCCCTTTACATCCAATGAATACCCCCGTATGCAAAGTAATTTTGTGGTTTTGCTGCCCTCTCGGTAGAGATGAAATTTGGCGCACTTTTTTTATCAAAACAATCACACCAACATCAGAGGTGTCCCATTTTTTAATTACTCGATTAACAACTAACCGATTATTTGTTGTTGGCTGTACTGTCATTTTTCCACTAATGAGAGTGCAACACATGTTTAAAACTATCGGTGATGATCCTCTGGAGAAGTTAATGCTTATATCGGCATGATATAACCGATTACAAATATTTTACTTTTCGGTTCGTTAATCGATTAATCGATTATTCGAATGAAAATCGGCCATAACTAGATGGATGTCAAACGTCATTTCAAATATAAGGACCGTACATAAATAATGATACAATTTGAAAGGGACCGGGGCTAATCACAAATTACGTCCCCACGGTAACTGAAATAAACATGAGTGTTCACCGGTTGGTTATACACTCTGCATTATTCGGTCTCCAATCTTCTTGCATTGGACCGCAGCTCGGTATGTCATCCCTCGTTCCCTCCGGCGCCGGTGGTGTAGTGATAAGCGTGACTGCTTTCTCACCCCAATGGGTTTGGGTTCAATCCCAGCTGAGGTCGGTGGGACTTTTCTGAGGCATAAAAATCTCTGGTCACGTCTTCCTTCGGAAGGGAAGTAAAGCCGTTGGTCCCGACTCATGTGTGTGTTTGAATGGGTGCGATATCCTATATGTTTTTCCCAGCTATATCTTTCGTCAAACATGAGTTGCCGTATGTGTTCGATCTCAGTTCCCTAATATATCAAGTAATGGGCTCATTGAGCAGAGTTGGCTGAAATTTTATTGTGGATTGAAGGTCACTAAATATATATATAGGTATATATATAGATAAAAAAAATCCTATAATACGTTAAACTATAAAATTTAAGTTAAATTTCAGATTGTAGTTGATTTTACCACAAAGTAATTAATAATCCCTAATCTAAGTGTTCTTTTTTTTTATTAATTTACCCAAAAAACTTCACCGTCCGTCATGTTAAGTAATTTAAAAAATAGAACCGTTGATCCAATTAAGCTATAAATATCCTAAATATTGTACCCTGCAATTCCCTATAGTTTATGAATTATTATATCAAAGCATATTTTCAAAAAAAATGTATAAAACACTTATGTTTTACGAAAAAGAAAGCTTTGAGTAATAATTTCCCTAAAATTGGAAAATCATCAGCATTTTTGACGATTACTCCCACCTTGAGTTGTTACATTCAAAGTGTATTTTGTTACTACATGCGTGAAGTTTACGATTTTCAGATAATTCAAGTCTCCTCATCCATTATTGTATGAGTTATGATATGGAGTGCGCGTTAGACTAGTACTGTCGCATTAATGGCCCTTCGCTCATTTCCAACTTCGATTCAATTTTCACACTGCCGTATTCTAGCGGAACTATCAACCTACCCTCTTCAGAAGAGACCCGTACAGAAGGCCGAAAAAGCCGGCGCCGGTGGTGTAGTGGTAAGCGTGACTGCTTTCTTACACCCCAATGGGTCTGGGTTCAATCCCAGCCGAGGTCGGTGGTATTTTTCTGAGGCATAAAAATCTCTGGTCACGTCTTCCTTCGGAAGGGAAGTAAAGCCGTTGGTCCCGGCCCATGTGTGTTGAATGGATGCGATATCCTACGCAGGTGTGTGTGGAAGCTGCCTTCCTGCACATTCGATTGCCGTCAATGGATGGCAATCGATGTCCGTCGGTGATTGGCACTAGATTGCGGAACAGAGACCGACGTTAAATAAAGGAATGAAGAAGAAGAAAAAGAAGAAGGCCGAAAATATTCTAAGGTACCACAAAAGGCCCAAAAACCAAAAAGGCCGAAAATTTATCAAAAACTGAATTTGTTGAAAACCGCATCCAAACAATCTGTTTAGGCCGGCGCACAATAGATACGTTTTCAGGTTTTTTGACAGCTAGCCCATGCATTATCTGTCAAAAAACCCGAAAACGTATGCATTGTGCGCCGGCCTTTAGTCTTTCTGCTCGCACAACTGACTCGGCTCGTTAAATGGTTTGCATTCACAAAAAATGAAGCCAATATGAAATTAGGTAGAGAGGTGTTCTCACTTGCTCACTTTTTGGGAAAAACCAGTAAGTGGTAAGCTGCGGGTAAGAGAAGGGTAAGGAAGTGAAAGATGCGATTGGCGAATCAAAGTTGACACTCGTGAAGAATAGAACAACTATGAAAGTGACGATGGTTTCAAAATTTTACACGGTGAGGTATACGAGTGCAATCTTAAAATCTATTTGCTTTGCGAACAAGTTATTTTAATAAAATTTGGTTGATGCTACGTTAGTAGAAAACGTAGACATATAATATAGAAAAAAAATAATTTCTTTTCAGATTTTTAGATGTATACATAGATTTAAGCTTTTCTACCACTGTAGCAGCAACCAGATTTAAATAAAATGCTCCATTTGCAAAATAAAAGCATTTTAAGATCGCACTAGTATACCTCCCCGTTGAACATTTTGAAACCATCATCACATTCATAGTTCTTCTATTCTCCACGGGAGCCAACTTTGATTTGCCAATAGAGGTGAACAGTTTATTTACACATACACAACATTCTGATAGGGTAACGAGTTACGCAAGCAGTTGAATGTGTGTAACTAGAACGTTCAGCAAAACGAACCAAGAGCAATATCGCTGCTAATGACGATTTCCGATTTGAGAATACCTCCCATATTGAATTTCATCTTGAACGAAGCCATCATCTTCATTGAATACTCAAACATCTGGAATAATAAAGCTAACTATCACTTTCTCTCTCATTCAGCATCGGAGGCCTTTCTGCTCTTACAACTGAGTCACCTCGTTGAATGGTCCGCATTCACACAAAACGAAGCCATCTTATCATTAAATCGTCGTTAAACACTGAAACAAACATAAAACTAAAGCTACTCAAAAGTTTTTTTTTTTCATTACGGAAATCTAATGGCTATTAGGTAGCTTCCATTATATTTTATTTCGAAGATGCAGAATTGTAATTATTGTAACATGAAGTAATGTAATGTAATTTAATTTATTAAAAACAAATTAACAATAGCCCGAATCGGGAAAGCGACCAAGTGGACCACCTTTTGTGTTTTCGGTCTTTTGTGATTCGGCCTTTCGTGATTCAGCCTTTTGTGTATTTCGGCCATTTGTGTTTTCAGACTTTCGTAGTACTTTCCTTCAGAACTTTATCTAGCTAATAAATTATCACGCTTCATGTTGATATTAGATAGCATTTCCAATCAACTCTGAGAATCGGAAACTTCACGTATGAAGTAACAAAAAACACTTTGAATGAGTTGGTTGGAAATGCTAACATGAAGCTTTTAGTGTGATGATTTATTAGCTAGAGAATGATCTTTAGAAGAGGGTAGGTGGATAGTTCCGTTAGAGTACGGCAGTATGAAAATTGAATAGAAGTTGAAAATGAGTAAAGGGTCGTTAATGCGACAGTTTTTAAAGATAGACGCACATTTTTGCCTAACCCGTACGATGTACGCGGAGACTTGAAGTATGTCTCCAAGCCTACAGGCAAAAATGTGCGTCCCTCTTTTTGCTCATAAACTGACTGCGGCTGTGGAATAGTTCTAGCGCAACGTGGGGCTTTAGGTAGTGATGAAAACGTCACTAGAACTATTCCACAACCGCAGTCAGTTTATGAGCAAAAAGAGGGACGCACATTTTTGCCTGTAGACTTGGAGACATGCTTCAAGTCTCCGCGTACATCGTACGGGTTAGACAAAAATGTGCTTCTATCTTTAAAAACTGTCGCATTAATGGTCCTTCGCTCATTTTCAACTTCTATTCTATTTTCATACTGCCGTACTCTAACGGAACTATCCACCTACCCTCTTCTAAAGATCATTCTCTAGCTAATAAATCATCACACTTAAAGCTTCATGTTAGCATTTCCAACCAACTCTGAAAATCGTTAACTTCGCGTATGAAGTAACATAAAAACACTTTGAATGTAACACTTTGAATGGTTAATCGTATTAAGGCGAAAGTTTGCATTCAGTACGATAATACTTAATATGCGATGAAATTCATTCGTATATGCGATTTTGTTTAAATCTGTAGTAGGGTGGTGCACTACTTCGGCATATGGGGCCCATTAACGTCATACGCATCAAAAACAATGAAGACAGACAGCTAAATCCAACATTCATGCATCAAATTCTTTGCTCACGAGTTAAATTACAAATGCTGTACAAAAAAATTGTCGGAAGACTGATTTAGGGGGAGGGGTGTGCCTGAGTGAAGTGAGATATTTCACGATTCTATCTGTGCATTGATTGCTATGCGACTTCTAGTTGTCTGGAGTATCCATTTCCCGTATATGCAATGTTACTGATCCATTCCAATATTTTTGCAATCGGTTTAGTCATCGGGAAAGCTTTTAATACTTTTTTTTCCTTTTTTATAGAGGCTTTCAGCCACTGGACCTCTTATCGGGAAAGCTGTATATTATTTCTTAATTCAATATCAAGGATGAATTTTCAAAAGGACGTATTTGTATTTGCGGCAATGTAAACTCTTAGCTCGCCTACGCAAACTAGCACCACCACCATTACAAAGGTACAGTTTCCCCAACCGGTGGATGGTGGTGTTAGTTTGAGTGGGCGAGCTAAGAGGTTCGACACATTGGCGTTTGAATCTTTGTTTACAAAAGCAGATACGTCCTTTTGAAAATTCATCCATGAATTCTTACAAGGCGGTTACGGTTAGGAGGTAATTCTCAGTAGTTTTCCGTTTCTGTAAGTTGATAACACACCATTCAAGGGGATCATTAAATTTACTGTGTATTTATTGTTAAGTATGCAAGAGAAAGCGTTTCTCCCTCATCAAGTTGATATAAACATTAATAAACAATAATATTACAGCTAATAGTAGTAGGTAGACAGAAGAGCTAGTTCGCTGGCAGCAACATTAAGTTAATTATATTCTGGGGTCATTCGAATGGATGGAACGAAAGAAAAGTCAGCACGGGATTGTTTGCTTCAGAGCTACGATCTACGCGTGTATTCGATTCTTTTTTTGTTTGTTTGTTTGTTTGCTTGCATGATACATTCATTTGATGGATTATTAATCGTTACAGAGATGGTTGGGGATGCTATGTTAAGCTGGGTTTCAGATGAGCGTAAACTAGAAACAAAAATATATGGACTGGAATAGGCAGATTATAAAAAACGAACAAACGCGCTAGGGGTGAACGTTTCAAGAAAGCATATCAGAATGACTGTGTTACAACTGTCCTTACATCACTATGGCATAATGCGGTTTACATAAACTTCAAAACTCTTAAAAACTTTTCCTTAGAAGGTAGAAATCAAGAGCATTTATATTTTTCGATTAACGAACAATAGAGTAAGTAAAAAAAGAAGACTACACTATTAAAATGTGTGACACAATCTAGAGATAAGTGATCGAAATGAATATAATGTGTTGTTTATGATGTTTTCGCGTGAAAATTTTGGCAATGTGTGTTGTAAGATGCACAAACTGGTTCACTAACAGTGTACGGGTGACAATTCTACGACAAACGCCCACACGTATGTCCTGTGCTTCTTTTCGATTCAAATGCAATGAGTTCTACTATTATAGAGGTGTCTACTGATTGAACTTGCTCGTCTGGCGCGTTTATTGGTCTATATTACAAATCCTACTTGTATATGATTATCTTTTCATGTCATTTTTTGTTACTGTTACACTTTCGGAGGAAAAATGTGAAAATAAAAATATAGATGTAAAATTTCTGAGTAAGTCTTAATATAATCTAAAGAATGTGTGGTTTTTTTTTTCAATCGAGCTCCATTCGCGTGTGGATTTATGTAACTTTTTTTTTGTTGTAGTTTGAGAGCGGAAGGTGGGAACTCTATCTTCGATAGTAGTGGTTGTACCTACCTGGACCAAGACCCATTTGCGGATGACCAGGGCGGAGCATATTTCCGCCTATTAAAGCCGCCCCCGGATGACCCATCGCTAGGCCTTGTCGCATCATCGGATTCATGAGCTGCATGGGACCGTTCAACGACATCGGTACCTGAAATTGGATTGAACAAACACGCGACATTTTCGTTAGCCCCCATGTAGCAGCTAACAGCTAATGTTAGTGACTTAAGAGAAAAGCGTTTTGAAACGATCACTACCAATTAGTTTCACTACATCATACTGTTAGAATGTACGCTAATAGAACACCTAGAATATTTAATAAAAATCACACACATTGCCATAGCTGACCATTCCAATTGGCATTCCAGGTCGAGCTGCCGCAGCCGAAGCGGCCGCTGCATTCGCTGCTTGTAACCGTTGGATCATTGTGGCCCGGTTTAGGTCGTCGATATGCTTTTGGTGGTTTGCCGCCGCAGCTTGGGCGTGCGCTATCACGGCTGCTTGCTGGTGAAATAATAGGGAGAAAGAGAAATGCCATTTTTGCAAAAAATTTCTACTTTTGGGATCATATGTGTCTGTTTCCTTTTTTCGTATAGGATGATTTTGTTTAGATGAAATAACGAAAAGAGAGTATTCTTAATGGAGCTAACTGAAGAAAATAAAAATAAAACTTAGGCCAGCTGATCGAAAATCTGTTTGAGGTATAGGAATAGGGTTTCAGTAATACCTACCTAGTATTTCATTGCAATCAGAAAACGGATTTTGCAGATCGATGGGATGTAGGGGAAAGTGGAACAATTTTGCCAATAGGGCTATGTGACCACCCGCTTAATGTTTGAAGCCTGCTTCTAGTATCCGTTTCATTTTAGTCTAAAAAATTACTTTTCTCTAGTGCGAATATTCGAAGAATGTTAGACTAACTCAAAACGTCAAAAATGTTATTAGAATTCTGAATCAGAAAATAAGGTCTATCAGTATCAGTCCGCATCGTGCTCTCTTGCCGTGCGGATCTATTTGCTTTTTGCTGAAGGAAGTGTTACTACTACCTAAAACTACAACAAATTTAAACAGCACTTTTCAGTGCTGAACCTGTAAAATTTCTACCTTGTTCAACTCTTATTCCTCTTTGATCCTTGTTTGGACCCTACCCGAGGTATTCCTTCTTGGATATCCATTTGGAAAATTCCTCTTCGATCGTTCAGATTATTATAGTAATCTGCTTGGAAGTCGATTTAGATAAAAATTTACTGCCGCAATGGCACCTAAACGCAAAAGAAAGGGGCAAACTCTTGATCCCCCTTCTGATGAAATTAATTTGAGTTATCAATTTGAATTGCTCACGGATGATGAGAATGATCCACCATCCAAGAAAAATTCCAGTAAACTTTCCCGGCTTAATGCCAAGAAGGAAAAGATTCCCCCTATTGTGATAACCACTTCCGATTTCCATGCTCTTCGTATGGAACTTTTGAACTTCGTGAAAGCTAAGTTTTCATTACAAATTGGACGTCGGGGTGAATGCCGTGTATTGGCTGAAACCTTGGACGGATTTAAATGTCTCCTCAAGTATCTCACTGAGAAGCAGCACAAATTTTCTACTTACGACACCAAAACGAACTTGTGTTCAAGGTTGTCATTAAAGGACTGCCCAGTGGTGAATCCCTGGATCAGATCAACAGGGCTGGTAGTGCTGATGCGATATAATAGTAGTGACTTTAGTGACTAAAATTACGGAAATAGTGACCAAATAGTGACTTGTAAATACTAAATAAGAAACCATTTATATGGTTACTTAGGAATTCAAATACAGTTTGATATGTCATGGAAGAACTTTTCATTCAGAATGATCTCAAGAACTTTTTTAGAATAATTCCCCTTCCCTTAAACTTAGAGGCACATAAGCTTTTACAAACATAATATTGCATTCTTGAAATTCTTTGCAGAACAATCAACAATATTCTTGGAAATAGATTATTTTCGTAGTTGGGAATGCTTAACATCAAATATCAGAATTAAAGTGGACATTTTATACGATAGATGAGGAGATGAAAGTAAAGAGCTTATAGTTCCGTTATTGTGTGGCAGTGTGAAAATTGTATATAGAAAGGTATGAATAGGGTAGAGCATCTCCTTTACCAAGCTCATCCGTTAATGAGGGATGGTGAAGGATGTTTCCTCCTGCCACCACTGGCAAAAGGGATGATCGCCGATTTGCTCATGTAACTCCGATGTGCGGAAACAGTTTTATCGTATAAAGAGAGAGAGAGAGAGAAAGATTAGTAATTTCCATTTTATTCCACTACATTATTTGCTTATCCTTGACAGATACGCGTAGTTCTATCGATTGTTTCACACTCAAGTCGCCATCTGACGTAAACAACTACCCGATTCGTACCTTCCTCAAAATTGTCCTTGCTCGCATTCTTCTTTGTATATACAACTAGCTGAGTGTGCCCGGTCTTGCTCGGGATTCAATATTAGCTTGAGTTTAAGCGCCGATTTAAAAAAAAGCATGATATATTGTACGTAGCCCCCCCCCTATTATCTAAGGGGCTACCCCCTATGATTATCTCCTTATACCCCCACACTCGTCCCCACATGCCTAATTTGGTTCCATTTGCTTGATTAGTTCTCGAGTTATGCAGAAATTTCTGTTTCATTTGTATGGGAGCCCCCCCCCCCCTTACAGAAGGGGGAGGGGTCTCGAACCATCATAAGAACCTTCAACGGCCCCAAAAACCCCTGTATACAAATTTTCACGCCAATCGGTTCAGTAGTTTCCGAGTCTATAAGGGTCAGACAGACAGACAGAAATTCATTTTTATATATATAGATAGATAGATAGATAGATAGATAAATTTTCACACTGCCGTACTATAACGAAACTGTCAACTCTATAATTGAATCTCCTAATCGATCGTATAAAATTTCCACTTTAAGTCTGATATTTGACGTTAAGCATCTCCGACTATATAAATCGTTAAATTCACGCATGAATTAATAACACATGATTAGTTAAAGCAGATTATTTTCCGATTTTTAATTGATTCTTCTAGGAACTCCCTGAAGGCTCCTTGCATAAATCCATGCTTAGAATTTCCATGTAATTAACTTCAGAAATTTCATAAATTTCTGCTTAGAATAATCTTGGACTTCTCCCTTGCATTCGATTGGAAATTCAATTCGAATTCTCCTCAGAATCCCCATAGTATTTCCTCAGAATTCTCAAAACAAACATCCATCACAAACTTTGACACTCTTCTCAGAATTCCTTTGGGATTCAATTCTCAAAATTCGATTCCTTTGGAATTCTTCTCGGAATTTATTTCGAACTCTTTAGAATTCTCTTGGAAGTATCGTCACAAATCACCCCAGAATTCTTTCAGAACTATCCGCAGAGACCATCTTTGGAGTTCACGGGGTTTTCAGTGAATTTTCATCAGAGCCCCCTTAAGCAAAATTTCAGAACTAATTTAGAATTCTTATTAGAATTGGACCTAGAATCCTCATCCAATCATCATATAATTGTTCTCAGAACTCTCGTTAAAAGACACTCTCAATTATATTAGAATTATTTCCAAAATTGTTTCGGAGCTGACTTTTGCGTCTCTAATAATTTAAACAATAATCAAAAGCGACGCTCGTATGTGTTAAGCCAAGTTTAACTATATAGGTAAACCTGGCTTAATATTTAAGCGGAGAAGAAGAAATCGGTCCTGAGAGCACTTAATTTTACATAAGACTTTCGTATTTTTCTCTGATATACCTTGGTGTCATCCCTAGAATCCTTTAAAATTATCTTAAAATTTACTTTGGATTTTTTAAAGTTCTTAATCATCCTTGAAAGACTTTTGAAAATCTATCACAGACAAATACCTTTGGAAAGTTTCCAAGGTTTAAAATTTATTTTTTTGGGAAAGGAGGTATATTTTTCCCGATTTTTAATCGAAATTGTAGGCATTTCCCAAAAGTTTTCCTGGTGTTCTGAAGTTTTGCGGTTCACTGGTTAAAATTTTCAATTTTTAACAGGTATGTATATTTTGTTAAAACTACTGTATACTTTCTTAGTGCCAATTACTAAATTTAAACATTTTGTTGATATTTTTAAATTTCACTTTATTTTAGTAGTGAAAAAGTGACTTTAGTGACTATTTTTAGGGAAATAGTGACTTTAGTGACTTTTTGGGGTAAAAAGTTACTTTTTAGTGACTGGCTTCAAAATAGTGACCAAGTCACTAAAAAGTGACCTGCTACCAGCCCTGTGATCAAAGATGAACTGGCCGAGGGGCAATTCATTGCTCTCGAAAATGAATCGAAAATACGTGAATGAAAAAAATACACGAAAATTCATCATTACTCGTCATTACTCAAAAAAAATGCAAAAAAAATACAAAATTCGGAAAAAAATACACAAATATTCGACGAATTATAAAAATACACGATAATTTGTCATTTGCACGAAAAATTCTAAATATGTACAATCAAAATGCTGAATTCGGACAAAATGCGTAAATTTATTATTTAATATTTTAATCCGAGCTCGAATCACAAAACAATGCAGTAATGAGTAGGATTTCACCCATTTTTAAGAAAAGTGCTTTAAATCGTTTATTAAATAAAAAAAAACATTAATGAGTAGTTGTGACTCAAAAATAAGTAACGAAGGCGTAGCAGCCTTGGTAACAGATTCTTATTAATGCGTTATTGAGCGAGGTAAGGGGCTGTTCATGAACTACGGGGGGTAGTTGGCAATTATCCACGGCCCATACACATTTTTAAAATTTTGTATGGACAATTTGTCTAATACGTAGTTAATGTACAGCCCCTAATGAGTTTATGAGTGAAGCCTCTTTTATTTAAATTGTGTGAAATTCTACTCATCAGTGGGTATTTTAAAGTTAGCGTGTGCTGTGCATTTGTCAAACAAAACGTCAACATTGTGAGTTTGATCCGTTTCATTCTCGGTTCGAGTCGTAAACATAAACACTGAAATGACATAATAAACTTATAACTGATTTTCAATACATTAATGCATAAAAATACACTTTTATTTTTTCTAATACACAGAAAATTACATTTATTCAAAAAGTGCAAAATAATACATTATTACGAAAAATACACGTTTATTCGATAAAAAATACTTCAATACGTTCATCAATACGTTGGCCCGAATCGAAAATACACAAGTGAATCGCCCCTCGGAACTGGCAACATTACTTGGAGTTGTGCCACTCCAAGTAATCAAAATGAAACTGAAATCCCGTCCTGGCGATTCACGCAACGGGATTTCCAATGATTTTTATTTAGTTCACTTCACAGTCTAGTGAACTAAACAACCTTAAGGCCTTAGAAAAAGCTAGTCTTATACTCCATGTCCGAGTTAAGTGGGAACACTTCAGGAAGACTGGAGGAAATTTCCAAAACCTCACCCAGTGCCGTAAGTGCCAGGGATGGAGTCACGGAACTAAAAATTGCTACATGCCAGCTAAATGCATGAATTGTGGTGATTCCTCTCACGCAAAGAACGACTGGCCTGTGAAGGAAGATCCTATGAAATTTAAATGTTAAAATTGTGGTGAAAACCACAAATCCAATTTGGGTAGAAATCAAAACACTAACCAACGCAATTCTAACGGAAATTTTGACAATTTTGACTTAGGAAGCATTACTGCCCCTAAAATGGAATTTTTGCAGAAATCATTTCATTGACATGATTTCTGATATGCTTAAATCTAACTCCATATTTGATGCTATTCAAACTGGAGTAAAATTTACAAACAATATTGTCATGACTTTAAAATTCAGTAATGGATTTTAAAGCATTAAATATTTAAAAAATGCAATGCTCGATCTCTTAAAGATAATGAAGACGAGCTATTCAACTTTTTGAGTGTTCATAACGTTCCTTAAACCTGACCATAAGGTTAAGAAGGATGCAAATTATTTGATTTATAGAAATGATCGTCTTGATGGACCCTGTGGTGGCGTTGTCATCATTGTTCATAGACGAATCAAACATAAAATTCTTTATTCATTTGAAACCAAAGTTTTTGAAACTTTGGGAGTTTCTGTTGAAACAAAATTTCGACAAATTACGTTTATAGCTGCCTATTTGCCATTCCAATGCGTAGGCCAGAAAAAGAATTTTCTCAAGGGTGACCTTCAGAAACTTACCCGTCATAGGTCTAAATTCTTCATTATTGGTGATTTTAATGCAAAACACCGCTCATGGAATAATGCACAAAGCAATTCCAATGGCAATATTCTGTTTGATGATTGTTCTGCAGGTTATTACACTATTCAATATCCAAACAGCCCAACATGCTTTTCTTCTGCAAGAAATCCCTCCACTATTGATTTGGTCTTAACTGATTCATGTCGACTTTGTAGCCAATTGGTTACTCATGCTGACTTCGGTTCTGATCATCGTCCAGGAACTTTTGAAATATCCCAAGAAATAATTTGTAATCCCAACAACTCTACTTTCAATTACCATAGAGCTGATTGGGAGCAATATCGAACATTTATGGAATATAACTTCGATCCAAACATTCCTTTGCAAACCAAAGATGAAATTAATTATGCTCTTGAATCTCTGACTACTTCTATAGTTGAAGCTAGAGCTGCCTCAGTTCCAAAATTCGACGTTAAATTCGATTCAATTATAATAGACGACGATCTTTAGCTCTTGATCCGTCTTAAAAATGTCCGTAGGAGACAATATAAAAGAACACGCGATCCTGCCATGAAAGTTATCTGGCAGGATTTGCAAAAACAAATTAAAAAGCGATTCTCTGCCCTGAGAAACAAAAATTTTGAAATTAATGTTTCTTAATTAGACCCAAGTTCCAAACCCTTTTGGAAACTCACAAAAATTTTGAAAAAACCTCAAAAGCCTATTCCAGCGCTTAAAGAAGGTGGTAAAATTTTGATCACAAATTTGGAAAAATCTCAGAAGCTTGCTAAGCAATTCCCATAATTTCAGTTTGGGTCTTACTAGTCCTATTGAGAATCAGGTTGCTCGGGATTATCTGAATATTTTTACTCGGGAAAATATGTTTGATGATTCCTGGGGGACTGATTTGGACGAAGTAAGGTCTATAACTAAAAAGTTTCAAAATATGAAACCTCCAGGTGATGATGGAATTTTCTATATCCTCGTCAAAAAACTCCCAGAGAGTACCTTGTCTTTCTTGGTAAAATTATTTAACAAATGTTTCCATTTGGCATACTTTCCTGATAAATGGAAAAATGCAAAAGTTGTTCCAATTTTGGAGCCAAATAAAAATCCAGCTGAATTAAGATCGGGGCTAGATGGCGGCCACATATCCTTCGCCCAGAACGGAAGATGTTCCTACAACCACCTCTGAGTGCGGTTCGAGGTGTGGCACGGAGCCCCATCTTGTTGAAATACAACATTTGGCTTTGGACCGTACTGTTCTTTGATCCATGGAAGAACATACTTAAAATCCCAATGAAGACCTCCGTGTTGACCTTGTCGCCTTCTGGAATGAACACCGGGTCCATTTTTTTGCCATCGAAAGCCACCAATCCAAACACCATAACGCTAGCAGGATGCTTGGTCAGATAAACGTTCTTGTGTTCGTCGGCAACGTCTTTTACCGGAAGAGAACTAATATACCGGTCGGTTCTGGAATTTGATACGGGATCGACGGTAAACATGCTCTCGTCGGTGAACAGGATTACCGGATTTTTTTCGGTTAAGGAAGTTCAAGATTTTCTTGCATCGTTCGACTCGTAGCTCCCGGATGCGGTTGGTAATCATGTGAGTTTTTTGTCCGTGCCCTCGACTTCGCCCTGCAATCTTCCTTTGCGATCTTTCATGCTGTAAAGTCTTTGATTCCGTGTTCCTTTGCCATTTTCCTTATTGAACGCACTGGATTCACCCGAATCTTCCTTTTGATAGCAGCGATAACCCTCGGACGACCTGTGGCCACCTTCGCGAATAGTTGTCCTTTCTTTTCTCGGTCTAAAACCCTTTTGACGGTCCACCGGGACAGTCCCACGGCGATTGAAATGTCTTTTTGCACCATTTGCGCGTGGGACAAATCACGAATACGCTGCCACTTCGTAATGGTGCAACTGTCAAACTAAGTAAATCATTTTCTTTTATACACAGCCTACTACGGTATGAGCTATATAGGTTACATGCATGCAAAGAAAACCAAGGCATTGTATGCACAGGTGAAACGGGAACCTTATTTGTACGATGGTGCATTATCACGCATACGGTATACAGATTTATCTGTAATCATACAGATTTTTTTTTCAATATTTTGATACAGCTCAATTTTTAAAATAGACAAATTCTTTAGAAAGCAAACTTTAGTAATGTTTAATGATTCTAAAAATTGAACAAACTCCTTCTGAACTATTGAATTTGCTTAATGGAGATTTACGTAAATCCACACTGAGACTGAGACCATTGCCAGCCAGATACAGATTAAAAAGATTTTTTGCGATGAAAATACAGATTGAACTTCGAAAAAATGTGGCATCACTGACAACAACGCGAAATGCTACCGGCCGCTACCGTGCAAGCGAAAAGCGTTTGAACGTGATCAGTATTCGTTCAACCGTCGAAGAGGGCACATCAGCAAGTAGAAGTAAATAAAGTAGTTTGATAAGTGTAGTACCGTGTTATTTGATTGACCCGATCATCCGAAATATAGCCCACTAGCCGAAGATCCGTTAATGCGAAGAAATCGTCACCCAAGGACATTTCAGTGTCATCCTAAGTTTGTTTTCCCCGGCGATTACCCTCCACCAAGTGTTATGGTCAACTGCATCAGATCAGAAGAAATTTTATAATAAGTTGGTTCAAAATTAAAACTCATCATCAGTTATGGTGAACATGAACATTCATGAACAAATACAACTTATAGTTTATGTAACCATACATCAATGTTTATGATTTTTCCTGGGTTTTTCCCGGTTACTTTTCAAATTTCCGATTCGCTGACCACCTTGTTAATGGCAGGAAAATGTGGTTTGTATCAGTTTATTTGATCGAACATGACGAAAGTCTGCTTAAGATGGATGCTACGTGTCAATCAAAAGCAAGATTGAAGTAAGAATTTTAAGACTATTTTGCGATGACAACTTTCACGGATGTACAACAGAACTTGTGTGGAAATCCATCCATAGGAACATAGTAAACTCCAAATGCTGCAGGAGCCAGCTTCCCTTCAGGACCCCAATCGAAAGTGGTCAGTTAACAATCGGATGCGACGAACATACGCTGAAGAAAGAAAGTAACTAAAGCTATTACAACCCTAAAGCATTAAAACCAAACTCGATTACGCGCCCCACACCCATGCACAAAAGTGTAATAAATAATTCTTCGTAGCTGCACAATGATGAGTTGTGTCAATTCTACCGGTTATTAAGCCAACCTTCCGCACACGGAACGCGGTCACACAGACGAAAGAATGCGGTTTCGAAGGTGTGCGTCTACCAGACAGAGAGGAATGCATCCCGCATCGAAAGGGACGCTTACGAGAGATGGTTAAAATTAACAATTATTGATACAGTTTCGATTCTAGTGAAGGATGGTGACCTTAATCATTCTCGACGAAAGACAATCAAACAGATCTTGAGGAAATGAGGTAAATTACGAAAAATAAAAACAAAACAAAAAAAAGGTACACACTACTAACAAATGAGACTGAACTAGGGAGTGAAAAAGAAGGATGTGTTAAAGAATGTACGTACGGTTGAAATGTGTCGGATCGTGTGTCGTCGGTTGGATTGGGAACACTTACCTCATGAGGCGATAGTAACCGGCTGTCCTTGCCGGGGTGGCTGGTGACTATGGTGTTGGTCCCACTGGCCGCGGCAGCCGAAGAGAGCGCTTTGAAATGGGCTTGGACCTGTTGTTGCTGTTGCTGGGCTGCAGCCGTGGCCGCCGCTACGGCCGCTGCCTGATGTTTTTCCTGTTGCTTCTGCTGCAGCAACTGCTGCGTCGCCATACTAATCTTTTTCTGGTACTGAGACTTGCGAGCTCGTATTTCCTCTAAGCTGAGATCCTCGGGCGGGTGCACTATTTTGGAAGTTGTACCGGTGGCAGGTATCACAGTCGTAGATTTGGACGCATCGCCCGCGGTTGCATTCGCCGCATTGACCGAGTTGGTCGTTGGTGGAGCACTGATCGTCGCACTACTGCAAGCAAAGAACCGGACTTGAAGAAGGGGGAAATCATGAGAAATTGAAGAGATTACGCTCACCTGTAGGCAGGGAATGTTGCCTTGTTGATAGCGGGGTTTGCGGAAATAGTTGTCGCCGAAGCTGCTGCCGGGAACAGTGGCCTTGGATGACCACCCATCATCGGTGGCATCATCTGCATACCAGGGGGCACCATGTAAGGCATGTGACCCATTGTTGCCATCATCGGATTCATTCCGTACGGCTGCATATGGGGCGTCATCATGTTGGGCATGACCATGCCTTGAGAAACAGAGGCTGCAATCAATCAATGAACATGTAAAGTACGTACACATAGAAAACTCCACCCTCGAGCCGAAAGTTTGTAAACCCAGTTAAAAATAAATAATTTACGCAAACAACACCCTCTGCTCCTCCCACCCAATCACTTACCTTCCTGTTTCGGTTTCTTGTGGGCCGGTTCGTCTTCTTCCGAGTCGGACCTAGTGCCACCGTTCTTCTGCTTTTCATGCTCCCGAATGTCCTCCGGCGGGATGCCTTCCATGCCGTAGATTTCAATCTCAATGTTGGACCGATTAGGCAGCGAATTTGGCACTTTATCGATCGATTCCTTGTGCACTTGCATACAGTGGATGGACAGCCCGGGACCCGTGTACAGTTTCTTGTGGCAGATGTGACACTTGAAATGCTTCGCCTTCTGATGCTGCACCAGAATTTTCTCATCATCGAACTCACGATTGCAGTACCTGTGTGGGAAGGAAGGAAAATCGCGCACGAGGGCGGAACGCTATGCTAAGGAAAATTCTGCTTTTGCTCTTTTGTTGTCATTCTGCACATTTCTCCACATTATATAACCCAGTCCCGTCAGAACATAAAACGGGATCATCACTACACTGTAGCAGACTTATTAAATAATATTTTTGGCTATAAAAGGATACCAGCACCAGGGCTTCGATGCCTTCTTCTTTTTGCGACCCATTATCGGATTTTTCTCCTCTTCTTTGCTTGTTCAGCAGCTACACTCCTCTTGGTCTGGTGCTAATGAACGAGGCACCAAGGGTAACTTTTTCCTATGCTTATTTACACTCAGGTAACACTTTAACGGACAATTCAATTGGCCTATTTCTTTTATCACAGCACCAATTCCGAAAGCGCACTATATTTGATTACAAATATGTGAATCTCAACACGATAAAATCGAAAAATTACAGCGTAGAATTTTCACTTTTCAATCAAGCACGAAGAAAAATGGAGACGACTTTTTTGACGATTCGATGAAAGAAGAGTGAAGTTGCCTGCGGATGGTGTTGCAGTTTGCGGCATTTAGTTCGATTTGACGTTTCACCTTGTCGGGGGATGATTCAAAATGAATTCGGGAGCCATCCCCTAATAAAAATTGTATGGTTAATTTGCTTAACGACGTGTTCTGGGTATCATCCAAACCATTTGTAGAATGGTTCGATGATTTGGGTTATCGTTCGTTTATGGTTATTTTTTATTAGGGTCTGCACGCTATGTCAAAACTACCAAAATTCAGACAGAATTCTCCCACTGAAACAAGGACCATAATATATTATAGACTATAGTTATGAATGCTATTTAGCAGAAAACACTAATTTTCTATATAACGACGCTTATTACCGTTAAATCTACTAGCAATTAATTATAGTTGACTATGAATGTTAACAAAATTACTATGATTCTGGCAAAACTACTATGCTAGCTTAAAATTATAGATACTACACAGAAAAAAAAAGTTGTTGAATATTACATCCAAACTGCTGCAATCAGGTCAATCCATCGGTTGTGTAGTATAACCATAGAGGTAACTCTAAGACCACTGGGTCCCGAAGAAAATCATTATTATTTTTGGCTCACTCAATACCAGAACAACGGTCCCAAGCAGTCCCAAGCTATTTCACTCACCCCTGCATGTTCTGCATGAATCCACACACCCCTGATGTTATCTGTCAAACTTTCATAGCGAATCAAAACAAACATAGTGTAGTAATAGAATTTCAACTAGAATAGGGTACGTTAATCGTTTGCTTGGGACCAATAGGCTACTAAAGTGGTGAGCCAATTTAAAATCGTTAGTTTCGTATTGATTGTTGGTATAACCACCCGCATAAAAAATAACCATTTCTAGAACAGTTTAAACTTCACTGACACCTTACTAGCTATGTTAACTTTATACAAAATAGTTTTGCTATGGTTTACGGAATGTAATCAACATAAAAGAAACACTACTTTCTACTGTTACTGTTTCTGGTATGTTTCAGCTACATTTTGTTAAAGTTGATCAACTATTCGAGACTATATTAAACTATTACAAAACATTACGAATAAAAGTTGAAAACAACTTGTACAACACTTACGTGTTTCGCTTATGGTTGCTTTATGTTTTTACATTTGGCACAAATAAAAGAAAACGCTTTTGTTTGGAACGGCGGTCGTGAGTACATTTGGTTGATTTTACTGAGTTATTGCATTTTTAAACCCTTACTCCAAATGGAAAACCTGTTTTAACCAGTTTTAACGTCGAGAAAAAATAATAACGTAAGTAATATCAGCTTACAGTATAAAGTATTCCTTAAAAACGCATGTATTTTCCACAAACATATTTAGGGTCTTTGACAATCCCAACCATAATGGCTAACAGCGGTCTACAAGAGAAGGAGATTTTGAAAAAAGGAAATCGAAGCGGGTTCATTTTACCGGTGCACATTTATCAACTAGAAATAGAATGAAGGTTTGTTTTGCAGAGTGTAATCATTTGTTTATTCCATTTATCTTTAAATCAATAAAAAATAATACCGAGAGATGCCACAAAATGACGTCTTGCAAATAACATTAAAATTAAAGAACAACCCATATATGCTGTGTTCCGCATATGCTACAATAGTATTATAACATCAATAAGTATGGTAATTTCTACCCGTACATAGTATATCTTGAAGTTAACAACAATGGTTGATTTTAAGCCGTACTACCTTATTCGAACGATAATAGGAATAGGATTTACATATCCAACTAGAACCTTTTCTGATGTGGTTAGGCTATAGTTCCTTTGCAAAAAATGTATGGGAAAAAGTAAGATTTCGTATGGTGAACGTTCTTAACCACCCATTGTTCGTATGGTTGGGTCTTCGAAAACCTTAAGCAATATGGTCAAAACTTCTCTAGGTATGGTTCGATTAAAGTTGGCTGAACCATTTTTATTATGGTTTTCACAGGAAGATAAACCATTTTCAACATGGTAATCGTATGGTTGTGATTTATGCGGGCCATTTTCAACATGGTAATCGTATGGTTGTGATTTATGCGGGCAAAGATGAATACTAAGATGAAACTGTCGGAAGAAAAACTTTCTATTTTAGTGTCTTCTTTCACGGTCCCTTTCATCCAATGAGAACCCCCCGTATTCAAGGTAATTTTGTGGTTGTGCTGCCCCCTCGGAAGAGATGAAATTTTGCGCTCATTTTTATCAAAACAATCACACCAAAATCAGAGATGTCCCATTTTTTAATTACTCGATTAACAACTAATCGATTATTTTTTGTTCGCTGTGCTGCCATCTTTATACCAATTAATGCATTATTCATGTGTTCATTTTAAGTAAACAAGGCCCCACTGTTGTGTCACTTTTTGTCTAGTGAGTGAACTCAAATCCATCCGTGCACTCGTCTATAGAGCTCTTCGTTGCGCAGTTTTGTTTTGTTTCGTGCGCAAAAGTTCAAAATAAAGTGCAAAGCAAATCTTTGCCACAATGAATCGAGGAATGGTTTGCTTTATCTTTCCTTCTTGCGTTTCCGCGGAATAAATCGGAATGTGCACTCAAAAAATATTCAAATTTATATAGTATAAAAGTAACGCTAAATCGTAACTCTCCTTCCCGACGCAGAATACGGAATAAAGAGAGAGAATACAAACTTAGTATAAAAATGCTTTATGCATGGGTAGTATAAAGTGCAAGTAATCTTTCGATGCTTTCAAGGAAATTATTTACATTTATATTTTGCAGGTGCTGTCATTTGCATTTGTCATTTATTTTGTTAAACGTATAAGGAGCAAAAATTTAGGGAAAGATCTTTACAATATTTTATTTTACTTGTAATCAATATTACCTATCGACACAATAAGATATAATGGTACTCAAATGTCATCCTTGCTCCCCGTTAAAGGGTGAGTATTTCTTTTATCCGGATCCGTTTCGCAACCGCATCAAAATAATCCCCCGGGTTGGGCTGAACTCCAAATGGATCCTGCGTTGTGAAGACGCATAGACTTGCCTCCCTTATCAGCATCAGCTAGTTGACACAATGTCACCAACCGGTGAACACTCGTGTTTATTTCAGTTACCGTGAGGACGCAATTTGTGATAAGCCCCGGTCCCTTTCAAATTGTATCATTATTTATGTACGGTCCTTATATTTGAAATGACGTTTCACATTCATCTAGTGATGGCCGATTTTCATTCTAATAATTGATTAATCGATTAACGAACCGAAACGTTAAATATTTGTAATCGGTTATATCATGCCGATATAAGCATTAACTTCTCCAGAGGATCATTACCCATCGTTTCAAACATATGCTGCACTCTCATTGGTGGAAAAATGACAGCACAGCGAACAAAAAATAATCGATTAGTTGTTAATCGAATAATTTAAAAAATGGGACACCTCTGATTTTGGTGTGATGTTTTGATAAAAAAGAGTGCAAAATTTAATCTCTACCGAGGGGGCAGCAAAACCACAAAATTACCTTGCATACGGGGGATATTCATTGGATGAATGGGACCGTGACAGTGGACACTAAAATAGAAAGTTTTTCTTGCGACAGTTTCATCTTAGTATTCATCTTTGATGTCACGATCCGGCACCAGGAAGCAACATTCGAATCCTGTCGTGTATTCAACCACATCACTCACCCCCAAATATTGTTACCCGGTAGATCATCTTTCCAATTGATAATGGATCTGGATCGATCTCCGGTTGAATGTGGATATTTGCTGCGGTGGAATTGCGTACCAATTTAACGCATGATTGCAACGTGTGATACATAAACATGACAAAAACGATATTCAACACTTACAAGCTTGTCCTACGATTGTGTTTAACAAAACCTACAACTGGCAATCTTCAAATTCCGACAATGATTCCTTGGATTGGATTGAAGGATAACGTTCCGATAGACTTCTTCATCACCGTAACTTGCTATTCTGACGCCACTGTTCGGATTAATCAGCTTATCGTCAGGTATGACTAGATTCGTAAAGATTTTACACTAGCCGTTGATATACACCAGGGCACCAGTAGGAACCCGTCAACCATAGTGATTCTAATTCGTTCTCGGTTGGAAGTTCCGTCGGTGCCTTAAACCTGTCTTGATGCCGATCTTCCATGCGTTGTTAAATTCACGATTTTTCAAGCCTATCAAAAATAAATCAACGAAATAAACTGAACGAATTCTTCACTACTATACGAGCTTAGTATAGTGTTGAAATAAATTTTAAGCGAATCTATGTATAAACATTGTTAAAGCATAAAATAATTAAATTTTAATCTATGTTATTTAGTAATATATTGTAATATTTAATTTGGCTCACCACTTGACTAGCCTATTGGTCCCAAGCAAACGATTAACGTACCCCATTCTAGTTGAAATTCTAGTACTACGCAATGTTTGTTTTGATTCACTATGAAAGTTTGACAGGTAAAATGAGGGGTTATTGGTTTTTCCTTGGACCGAAGAGAGTACCAGCACAAACGAAGTGACAGACGGAGCGGCTCGAAAACTTTGGTGACTAACCTGCTATTTCAATTTTTCAGTGTGCCACATGGCAACACCACTACTACTAGATTGTACCAACCATGGACCCAAAGGGTAAGGACCTCCTTCACGCGATTTTTTTTTGGTTCACCTAGCTGTTTTTTTTAGTGTACCTGGTGCACCCGGTACTAGAGCAAAAGACAGCAATTTGTACCAGAACAGGTGTCAAAAGTGACACAGACAGCACAACTGCCAGCAAAAAAAAAGCGCGGTACCCGCTGCCGTGGCAGTCAGATTGAGGTGTGTCATATCCGCGCCATCCGTTCAATCGTGAGCGAGTGCGTTATCTCAATTCATTCTTGGAGGATCATAAGTACAACCCACGACGTGCCAAGCGATTGGCGGAAAATCTCAGCGTCGAACTCCGAGATATGGTCAAACGGTGCAGCTTTGAGCGGTATCGAGTGGCTGCCATGGTGACCGTGGGAG